GAGGGCGGGTATCGAGGGTTTGGGAAATACGCGTTATTGGACACTCGAGCATATAAGGGCGAACGGTCTTAAACTTATTGGTGTTGTTGTTGTCGTTGTTGTTGTTGTTGTTGGTGTTGTTGTTGCTGTTGTTGTTGTTGAACTCTAATTACTGAAGAATAATTATTGTTGATCCCCCCCCTCCGGCGGACATTATATGTTTTCAATTGAAGTGCCCCTTCCGGGGCTCGCACCCTGTTTTTTATCAGGGAAAGTCGTGGGCATCAAACTGCGTTGTTGGCCCCCCGGACAACAACAACAACGGCTCCCGCCTGATACTTCCTCCAAATTTACTCAGGACCCCCGCCCCCGCCTGGGACTTCCTCGCAGTTTACTCAGGCGGAGGCGCTCCCGCCTGAGACTTCCTCGCAAATTACTCCGGACCCCCGCCCCCGCCTGGGACTTCCTCGCAGTTTACTCAGGCGGAGGCGCTCCCGCCTGAGACTTCCTCGCAAATTACTCCGGGAGCGGCGCTCCCGCCTGGGACCTCCCTCACAACTGAGCATCAAACTGTGTTGTTGGCCCCCCGGACTACAACAACAACGGCTCCCGCCTGATACTTCCTCCACATTTACTCAGGACCCCCGCCCCCGCCTGGGACTTCCTCGCAGTTTACTCAGGCGGAGGCGCTCCCGCCTGAGACTTCCTCGCACATTACTCCGGGAGCGGCGCTCCCGCCTGGGACCTCCCTCACAACTGAGCCCTGCTGAACTCTCAATACTGAAGAATAATTCTTCTTGATCCCCCCCGGCGGACACAGTATTTTTCCCCGACCTGGCGGAGGGGTTCCCGTTGTGTGTCCCCCTGGGGGGGTCTGGGGGGGGGACCCCCCGGGACATGGCCCCGGCCACGGGCGGAACGCCGGCGGAAGACGGCGGAAGTCCGGCAGGACACGGCATCATTTCTGCAGACGCGCTTCCGGGAGGCACGGACGGCCCCAAGATGGTCCACGAGATGGTTCACGAAGGCCTCGAGTTGCCGAAAGATCGGCCTAAGACGCTCAAGATGGCGTCCCGACGGCCCAGGGAGCCCCTAAGACGCCCGAAAGACCCCCAAGAGCTTTCCCAGGAGAGTCGGAAACGTCAAAAACCATAAGTTTTCCTTACGTGTTCGAAGGTTTTTGAAGTTTTTGCATTTTCGGCTTCTCGGCGCTCCGAGACGGCCCAAGAGGCCCCAACGATCGCCCCAAGACGGCCTCAGCAGCCCTCAAGACAGCGCCCAGACGGACCCGTTCGTTGGCGTTCGCCCGCCCCGCCAGCCCGACCCGCCCCTCAGAGTCCGCCGCTCGACCCGTCTGTCTGGTTCGTCCGTTTGTTTACCTCCTCTTTTGCCCCCCTCCCCTCCTGCTAACCTCTTTCGTCCTCCATCCATCCTCCCCCCCTTTGCCCCTTCCCTCCTCCCTCCCTCCCCCCACTCTTTTCCTCCTCGCTCTCCCTTCCTCCTTCCCCCTGCTCTTCCTGTTTTAGGGGCTGCGCCAACTACACGTGGCGAGTAAAAAAGATATACCCCCAAAGGGGTATGACCGAAGACGAAGAGGGTGGGTATCGAGGGTTTGGGATTTACATATTGAGTGACGCGCGCGCATATAAGAGCGATCAGTCTTAAGATGATTGTTCTTGTTGTTGTTGCTGTTGTTGTTGGTGTTGTTGTTGTTGTTGCTGTTGTTGTTGTTGTTGTTGCTGTTGTTGTTGTTGTTGTTGTTGTTGTTTGTTGTCGTCGTCCCACCCGCGACCCACCAGCGACCCACCCCGCGACCCACCCGCGACCCACCCCGCGACCCACCCCGCGACCCACCCGCGACCCACCCGCGACCCACCCGCGACCCACCCGCGGCCCGGCCCGCGACACACCCGCGACCCACCGTCGACCCACACCCACCTGCGACCCAACCCGTGACCCACCCACATTGTTTTAACAAAAAACGGTGCCTGCGGCGGGCTCGATTTATAGCTTGAACATTTATGCGCTTGCGGCGGGCTTCTTCAGAGCATCGCAGACTGCCGACATAACCGCCGCATCCGCAACTGCGGGGTGCTACGGTCATCACTTCGCATGCACGTCGCATCCTGACTTATGTACGCACAACGTGCTTGCTTTTCACATTGCTATCCTGCCAAGCTGTGCGAGCTTGCGACGGATAGCGCCCCCACGCCCTGCGCACCCCTTCTGGTGTCGAGGAAGCGCCACGCCTGCCATACTTTTCGAGCGTGCGGCGGAAACGCCCCCACCCCCCGCGCATCTCCTCTGGTGTCGAAGATGTACCACGCCTGCCACGCTTTGTGGGCGTGCGACGGATAGCGCCCCCATCCCCTGCGCACCCCCTCTGGTGTCGACGATCTGCCACGCCTGCCACACTTCGGCGATGCCGAGATCGGAGCGCTCCTGCGCGTGCCGCTCATACTGCACGGCAGACGACGCTCACACAGCTGGTCGCGGCCGTCTTCACGAAGATGGCGCGCCCGCGATCGGAGCCGCAGGCTGTCCTGGCAGTTCCGGCAGGGCGAGCGAGAACGCGATGCGCACCCTCGCGCTGTTCTGCGCGACGCAAGAAACAGTCGACGCGACGCGGCGCGGTGCGCCCACGTACTCGGCCGCGTCAGCGGCTTCGTCGCCGCGCGCGTCGTAGTCTCGGGCCCCCCTATCGGAGCCCCCTCCACCCCCTCAGGGCCACCTCTGGTCAGATCGTCGTCGTCGGCGCCGTCGTCTCGGGCCCCCCCTCGAGGCCCCCTCGGGCCTCCCCCTCGGATCGTCGTCGTCGGCGTCGTCTTGGTCGGAGCCACCTCGGGGCTCGCCCCCAGCCCCCCTCTCGGCCCTCTCGGGCCCCACTCGGGGCCTTCCCTGGATCGTCGTCGCCGGCGTCGTCTCGGGCCCCCCCCCCACGGAGCTCCCTCGGAGCCTCCGCCCCCCTCCTGGGTTGCCCAAGTGCCACGCTTGCCGTATGGCGGTGCACATCGGACAAAGAAACGAGAAAAGTCTGGAGGGCCACATCAGGCAAACAGCCTGAGACACCCCTTCAATCTGGACGCGACTTTTGCAGTGCCCCCATCCCTGGCGGCTCCCCCTGGGGTTGCCCAAATGCCAAGCCTGCTATATCGCGGTGGGCGATGGGCCAGGGGAGGCACACCCACACACACACACACACAAACACCGCCTGACACATCCCCACAAACTGGACGCGACTGTTGGAGTATCCCCACCCCTGGCGGCTCCCCCCTGGGGTGCCCACATACCACGCCTGCTATCTCGCGGTGGGCATTGGACCACCCAACGAGAGAAGACTGGGGAGGCAGATACACCCACAGACACACAAACACATAAACACACCCCAACACACACACAGACACACACACACACACGCACACCGCTGAAGACATCCCCACAAGATGGACGCGACTGTTGGAGTATCCTCACCCCTGGCAGCTCCCCCCTGGGTTGCCCAAGTGCCACGCCTGCTATACATCGCGGTGAGCAAAGGACCACGCGAAGAAAGCCTCGTTGGGAGCTCAACCAGGAACACCGCCTGAGACACCCCTTCAATCTGGACACGATTTTGAGAGTGTCCCCACCCATGGTGGTTCCGCCCTTGGGTTGCCCAACATGCAACGCCTGCTACATCGCGATGAGCATCGGACGACGGTTGTGGAAAAGCCTGGAGGGCCGACACATAAAAACCTCGTGAGACATCTCCACAATCCTGACGCGACTCTTGGTGTGTCCCCACCACCGTGGGGTCCACGAGTGGTGCCCAGATGCCACGCCTGCTATATGGCGGTGAGCTTTGGACCACAAAGAGGGAAACGCCTGGATGCAGAAACAGACAAACCGCCGCAGGCATCCCCAGTCTGGACGCGAGTTTTGGAGTGTCCCCACCCACCACTGGCGGCTGCCACTTGGGGTGCCCAGTGCCACGCCTGCTATATCGCGGTGAACCACAAACAAAAACTGGAGGGCCGAACCGAGCAAACCGTCTGAGACATCCCCACGATATGGACGCCTTTTGGGGTGTCACCACCCTTGGCGGTTGCCCATTGGGGTGCCCACATGCAACGCCTGCTAAGTCGCGGTGGCCACCTGTGTGAGAGTTTTTTTGCGAGTGAGTCTGAGCGTGAGTGATCTGAGTTTAAGTGAGTCTGAGTGTGAGTGAGTCTGTATAAAAGTGAGCCTAAGTCTGAGTGAGCCTGAGTGTGAGCGAGTTTGAGAACGAGTGAATCTGAGTCTGGGTGTAAAAAAAGACCGAGTCTGAATGAATCTAAGTAAGGGTGAGTCTGAGTACGGGTGAGTCTGAGGGTGAGTGAGTCTGAGTGTGGGTGAGTCTTGTTGGAAGTGAGTATGGGTGTGAGTGAGCCTGAGTGTGAGTGAATCTGAATGTGAATGAGTAGAAGTGTGAGTGGGTCTCACTATGATTGAGTCTGAATGAGCGGGTCTGAGTGTGATTGAGTCTGTGTTTGAGTTAGCCTGCGCAAGTGAATCTGAGTATGAGAGTGGATGAGTCTGAGTGTGAGCGAGTCTAAGTGCACGAATGCGTCAGTTATCTGAATATAAGAGGGTATGAGTATGAGTGAGCCTGAATGTGAAGGATGCCCAACATCAAGATATGGGAAACAAGGCGGAGAAGGAGGATAACAAAGGTATGAGGAGCCAGAGGCGTGGAAGGAATAATCAGACTTCCGCCTCAGGATATGGTAAAACACCCAAGAAGGCCCCAACAGGCCCCCTCTTTGAAGTTCCTCACATCAAGAACAAGAGGCGACGCAACAACCGAGCAACGATGCGAAACTCCAGCAAAAACACGGAGTAGCGCGAACACCGTGCAAAGATATGACAGGGCCAGGCTTGCGCCTCGCGGTCACACAGAGCTCCAACAATGGTTCCACCGAGCCTCGAGATAGATCGGTGGGACCTTTCTGCTCGAATCTTGGCGCTGCGCCGGCGTGGCGGAGTCTGCCGCAGGCAGCCGGATCGTCTACCACGTGCTTCACCTCGCAGAAGCGCCCCTGGCCAAGATTTTCGTACCAGGCGATCATGTTGTTGCCCGAGGAGGCGGAGATCACGTCGAGATCACCGTCGCCGTCAATGTCTGCGACAGTGACGCCCTGATGATTCGGAACAAAACCCTAGCCCTTGGGGAGGGAGCCTAAGTTCAGGAGGGCCAAAAGTATTAGGTGTCTCCAACCAAGCCACCCAGACTTCTTATCCCTGATGCAAAAACGAGGACCTACGTGGCGGGCTCCGGAAGCACTGAATTCAAAAAGGTCGCCATCTCTTGGGAGGCCGATTGCTACTTCCGCCAGCTTCCGCCGGCCTTCCGCCGACCTTCCGCCGGCAGAGGCGACCTCGTTATACTTCTGCCGACATCCCGCCGCCCTTCCGCCGCCTTCCGCCGAGGAAGGGATGGCAACTCCTTCGAACCTCGAAGGCGAGGCCCTCCTGGAGCGCCACAACTGAGGCCACGTCCTCGCTGTGTTCTCTAGGGTAAAGGTTTCTTTTTCTCCTCGATGACCTGAGCGTTCATGGCAGTGCTGCTGATGATCCGCCACCGTGCCGCGGGCACGGAAAAAGAGCGTCCTAGGAAGCCCCTCCCGCTCGAGTCCCGGGGCTGCAGATAAACAATGTTTGTCGTTTTCGTTTTGTGTTCGTTTTCCCTTGTTCTGTCTTCGTTCTGCCTTCGCTGCGAAACGAGATCAAAACGAACACGGTCCACAAAATAACCGTTGAGCTCGAGCTCTGTCCTAAGGCCCCCTCCCCCTCGAGTCCTTCATACTGACTGCGTCGCCGCGCCGTTTGTTTTCGACGCGCCCAAGGGGACGACGCCGACACCAAGGCAAACGAACGGCAAACCCTGCGTCACGCGCCAAAGGAGACGCAGACCGCACCACGGCAAACCCCACGGCAAGCCCTGCGTCCGAGGCGGAGTTTGCCCTGGTGGTCACGGCGCGAACGGAGGCCGCGAGTCGGAACAGACAGCGCGGCGCTATCCTGCTCTTCACATGCACGAGCCCCTCAACTCACGGGCTGTCTCGCGCAGCCTGGGCACGCTTGGGGTGCGCCGCGCGCCACGTTTCTCCTGGTAGTCCCCATCATCGCCCGCACAAGTGCCAAGGGACCTTTCTTTTTCCAGGTCATTCTTCTCGTGCTCCTCGTCCCTCGTCTCGTCTTCGTCTTCCTGCTTTTCGACATCCTGAATGTCCTCCTCCTTGTCCTCCGCGCTGTTCACTTCGTATTCTCCTCCGTCCGTGCTCTACTGTCCTCCTCCTTGTCGAGAGCCTCGTCTTCCTCTTCCTCGTTCTCACCGCTCTCCCCTCCTTATGCGCGCTGTCCTGTTCATCTTCCACACTGCCATCTTCTTGAAGTCCTCCTGGCCCTCCTCGTCAATGCTGTCGTCCTTCTTCTTCTTCTTCTCATTATTTATAATATTATTACTAGCCGGCCGCTCTGCGGTTGATCGGGAGTTTCTGTATATAGAAGAAGGTGCGTGCGCTTGTTGGCGAGGGTGAGGATGAGGTTCCTCCTCCTCCTCCTCCTCCTCCTCCTCCTCCTCCATCCTTCTCTTGCCTCCGTCTGTCCTCCTCCACCCCGCAGCTCCATCATCTTCTCCTCCTCCTCCTCCTCCTCCTCCTCCTCCTCCTCCTCCTCCTCCTCCCCAGAGGATCTTAACATCTTATTTTAAGAAACCAAGTTTAAGAGCATATATATGTTATAATGTTATTTATACATGAGCGCACATCTACCTACAGCCACCTCGATGTTTGCGTGTGCACCTGAAGTCAAGCAGGCAAGGGCCACTGGTATCGATCAGAGCGCCAGGGGTCGCGTAGGGCACGCGACTGCAGCCTGGCTACAGGCCGCGGGCCACGGGCCACGAGCAGCGGAGCGCAGGGGAGACCCCGAGGGGCGACAGGAGAAGGAGGAGGACGAGACACGGGGGAAGGACGACAGACCAGGGTTTATGTAGATTTCATGTTGTGTGTGTGTGATGAGCTTATGCGGCCATTGTGAATTTTTCTGTGTAGCCAGTCTCCTCCCTCATCCCTCTCCCGTCCTCCATCATCATTCCTCCAGTGTCCACCCTCCTTCCTCCTCCCTACTCCCTCCTCCGACCCTCCTCCTCACCTTCCTCATCATTCCTCCTCCCTCCTCTTCCTCCTATCCTCCTCCTCATGTTCCTCATCTTCCTTATCATCGAGTCCTCCTCGAAGCCTCCTCCTCCTCCTCCCTCTCCATCCTCCTCCTCAGCCTCCCCCTTCCTACTCCTCGGGTCCTCCTCTTCCTCCTGGCGATTGGGGCACAGACGAGATCGAACGCGATCGACCCCCTGCCACGCCCCTCCCCCGCGAATTCCTGGCACGATCTAGGGAAACAAATATGGATTGGGGGAGGGAGGGGGGTCGATCGTGTTTGATCTCGTCTTCGCACTTGCTCTTGCCTGCGTGCTGTTTTTGCCCACGTGGGTCATCGACGCGGTCTACGCGGTGTACGGCAGCTACAGCGAGCACGAGGACCCGTGTGTATTTTGTTGTTTCGCTTCTCTTCTAATGACATATCGTCGTCATCTTCTGCCACATCAATATCATCATCAAGACTGCACGTGTTCGTTTGGGCCTCAAGCTCGCTGGAACATGACCAGCTGCGCAGCCGCTTGGCAAAATGCCACAGGGTAGCGGGCGCTGCTGCGCTGCGACGCCGAGCCACGAATCCACGTCCCTCGACGTGAACCCCAGCCGCGGGCGCCATCCTGATCGGAGGCGGACGCCTGCGCACGAGGCGACTCCGTGGTCAGCCGTCGCTCGCTAGAGCTGGCAGCATCCTTGACAAACGCGAGCGCTGCCTGGCGATGGACGCGCAGAAGCTCGTGCACACGATCTTTATCGTGAGTTGTAAAAACAGTAACTGGCTTCAACGTGATGCTACCGAACCCACCAAGATGCGTCGTGAACTTGTGCGCATCAACAAGCTCGAATGACATCATCATGTGGGGGATCGTGTACAGAATGGAGCCCATGCTCTGCTCTGTCACGATGAAGCACCCTCTGCAGCCGGCCAGCTGAATAAGCCAAGACCTTGGCTGTCCAGGGATGGATGATGGGTAATGTGCGGCATGCTGTTGAACAGGGGGTTGGATGTGAAAGGGGCGGGCGGACGAGACAACATATGGCACGTGAGAAGGGCGCGTCGTGCCATGGGGAAACGGAGACGGGGCAACCGCACCGTCATTCATCATATCGTGCGTCCTCCGCCTCCGTCCTCCCTCCTCCCTCCTCCCTCCTTCCGCCCCATCAACTTCCGTCTCCCAATCCTCATCCAAAACAGATGGGATACCCCTCGCCGCTCTTGAATCCAGGGCGCACCCCAATTCGACAACGCATCGTTTCTGGATGGGCTGTCGCCCCCTACCACTGCCCACCCCATCTCCTGCGTTTGGATCGGTCGGCCCACTCTCGAAGATCGTTTGAGGTCCGTGTCGGCGCGTGCGCCCGCCGCCCCCCTTCGGCACGTCCGCTCCCCAGTGTTCCCTTTGACCCGCCCCTCTCAATCATCCAAGTTGCTTTGCCTCTCTCGCCCTCGGCATCGTGGCTGCTAAGTCTGCTGCGTCACTCCAGCAGCGTGGTTCGCCTCGACCACATCTTCTCGATCCTCATTTCCCCACCAGCATCCTGTGCGGTCCCGTGCAGTGTGGCCAACGCACATGTTGAGCCACGTGCCGCACTCGGGCTCCATCATGAGGGCGCCCCCCTCCGCCACCTCCAGAGTGGACCACGCGGCCCACAGGGGCCCGGCCAGCGTGGAGATGTCCTCGGACGAGTCGGACGTCCTGGGGAGGGGCGGGCGGACAGGGGCGCCCGCGTTCAGATCTCTGCGATCGCCCCCCTGCCCCTTTCTAGAAGAGGGCGGGTGGAGCAAGGGAGGAAGTGGGCTCGGGGGAAAGTGAACTCAGGGAGGGGGGCGGGTGTCTCACAACGGTAATTGATGGGTGGTGGGCCAGCAACGCAGCGAGGGCGCCACGCTGCCATTAGAGACGCCTGATCCCCCCGATGGCACTGCGCCGATCCGACAGGGCCCCCGAACAACATCTTCTTGCGAAAGCCTTGGTTGAAGAGGAGGAGGAGGAGAAGGAAGAGGAGGAGGACGGGGGAGGAGGAGGAGGGGGAGGAGGAGGAGGAGGAGGAGGAGGAGGAGGAGGAGGAGGCGCGAGAAGGACGAGGAGGACGAGGAGGAGGAGGAGGAGGAGGATCAGGAGGAGGAGGAAGCCCCTCAGACAGACGCCGTGAAGGCGAATACTCGCTGGGCGGAGTCAGGCGAATGTGACGTCGAGGGCACGCGCCCTCAACTAACACATTGCCAGGCCCCACTCAACAAGCATTCGGCCTCTGCGCAGGGCTGGATACACTCAGAAAGCCACCGTCGGATCTAGGAACGAGATCGGGCATCCACTAACTTGACCTTCGGCCGCCGAGGACTTACAACATCCAGAATGGGGGCGGGGCAAGACATTTCGGGGGATGCGCTGACCCACAGTCACGCGTCGACGAACGTTCAGGGCGATGACGGAAACGATACGAGACCAAATACATTACATCGCCGATGCATCGGTGATGCACTGTATGAAACATGTATGCGTATTTTATGCGTATTTTATGCGTATTTTATGCGTAGTTTATGCGTAGTTTATGCGTACGTTATGCGTGTGTGCGTTCGCATCGCCGATGCGTCGGCAATGTCAACATACGGTGTGCGCGTGCGCTCGAATGTCGTCGTGCCATATAGGCACGTGGTGCCTATATGGCACGTGCATTTGGAAGTTTGGCCCGTCCCTGTCGGGAAGACGTCCTGTCGAACCCGCGAGCCATGCCACCTCTGTCCCTGACGGCCTTGCAAATGCCACCCTGGCCGCAGAACATCTCGAACATATTGAGCGGCCTGCTACAAGGACGGCCACTCGATATCCAGTCTGCCACCACGCCTTGGGCGAGTGCGATGATCCGCTCGGAGCTGCTGTTCTCCAAGCTCAGATGGCCATCCCCCAGCTGTCGAGAAAGTGAAACTATCCATTGTGGCACGCCAGAAGAGTGCAACCCTGGCATCTCATAGTGTCTACAGCTCAGCAGACCCAAAAATATAGCGATTGAGCTCGAGCATGCCGATTATCACGTACGCATTATGGACGTTCGATTCCATTGTATTCCTGTGACTGTTTTGGGCTGTCGTTCTCAATAAGAAGTTGAGTGATTCGTCTGTGAATGTTGAGTATGGAGAAGGGTTGCCCATTACCCATGACCTGTGTGTACCGCGGCTTACACAGCTAACGTACATATGAGATGACGTGCGCCCCCCCCCCCGCCTTAGATGTTGGGTACTCCCCCCTGCGCCCCCAACCAAACGTCATTGTAAACCACTGTCTGCGCTGCAAACTACAATCCAAACGCTGCGCCCAGCAAAACCCCCGATCGCAGGTGCCCGCGGGGAGGGGTGGGGGAGGCGCCGCGATCTCCGATCCCTCCCTTCCGCCACCCCCTCTCGAGCGAGC